TGTGTGTGTGTGTGTGTGTGTGTGTGTGTGTGTGTTGGGGGGGGGGCGTATGTGCCGTTTGCTGGACGTGACGTGACTTCTGCTCGTGGGATATATGGCGCTGCTATGCATTTGTTTTTTGCTTTTTATTTGTTTTGTTTTGTTTGGGTGTGTCTTCTTTTTAGTCGGATCGATTTTCACAAAGACAAGAACGAGGAGGGGCGTTGCGAGTTTCGCGTCTGAATACGTAATGATGGCGCGATTACGTTTTACCCGGGAGGGCTTGAATTCATTACATCGTTGTTATGCATCTTTATGCAATTATGAATTTTTGTCATCTTGCACCAGAGTCGAGGGAAGAGTCTTGTATATTAGGTTAGCAAACGAAAATACCAGAACTCTCGCAAACAGCACTGTTCTAATGTGTACTATTCGGTGCTGTGGTGCCATATACAGGGTCAAAGTTGACCGCGCCGCAACAGTAGACCCCAAAAAAGCAGGATCTTGAACAAAGTGCATATGCACTTCGAATCAGGTGCATCTTCTTCGAAACAAGTGGATGCAGTCGAATAAACTCAGTGCATGCAGTTCGAATCAGGTGCATGTTCTTCGAAACAAGTGATGCAGCCAAATAAACTCAGTGCATTGCACTTTGTTTCATGAAAATGTGCTGGATTCTTAAGTAACTGCCTCTTTGGGTGTGCGAGTTAGTTACTATTCGGTGCTGTCTTGCCCCAGAAGGGGGCCCGCCCCGCCCCGGCCAACAAGAGTCAACGACACTTTACGCGCTGACTTGACGGTCCCGCCCGCGGGCGCTGCGCTGCAATGGCGGGGCGGGGCGGGGCGGGGCAGTGCGCGGCGGCCAGCGAGCTGCGTCTGCAAGGCGAGGCGCTGCTGCTGGCTGGTCGTTAGGCCCTCCCTCAGGTGATGGGAATGCAGCGGACCGTCGCGACGATGCAAAAGGGGGACTGGGACCCCTCTCCGCCACCTCCCCACCCCTTTCTCTCCTCCTCCTCCTCCTCCTCCTGTCTCCTCTTCCCATTTGCCGCACCCTCCCGCGCCTTTTTTGACATCCCTGATTTTATGTTTTTTTGCCAACCTCATGTCATACTTGGGAAACAAAGGCCTCCCTCATTTTATTGTGGACACGCGTGCGCACGTGTGTGTGTGTGTGTGTGTGCGTGGATTATTTAGCACACGTTTCGCCCGAGAACCGCGACCGCGCCCTCTATGTGTGCGTGTGTGTGTACTGTGTGTGTGTGTGTGTGTGTGTGTGTGTGTCCGCGACCACACGGTATTTTCCAATTCTCTATTATTCCTCCAAGATGTATGGCAGCGTTGCGTCGGCCGCGCAGCAGAACACACCCACCACCACTACTCCTGGTCGTAATACACTCAACCCGATCACGGCCAGGTTGACCCAGGGGGTGGTGGTGGTGATGGTGATGATGATGGCCACATACACCACCGTGCGCGCGAGCGGTCGGTCCCGGGTGTGTATAGGGAGGAGGAGGAGGAGGTCAAGTTCAGCTCGGTCCGGTCGGGCGTGGTGAGCCGACCGGTAACGGCCTGAGCGGCCTGAGCTGAGCCGCCACGGCCTTGGCCGTGAGAGCGAGGGAGAGGGAGAGAGAAAGTGAATGAGAATGTTGCGACCGGCCGCTGACCAAGGGCGGCCCTCAGGGCGCCACGCTGCGCACGCGCGGAGCAATGACCGCCTCCAGTCATGACAACAACAATTATTACTTAAGCAAACGAGGTTTGGGTCCCGCGATGATCGCAATAATTAGTGACAATTTGCCTGGAACTTGGCACGGTACGATAAGCTATAGCATCATCGGCAACAGCAGATCGTATAATACTCTAAAGAGAGAGAGAGAGAGAGAGTTTCACTGCACGCAACACGCAGACGCTACTTTGCTCGTATTGCAAATTAATTAATAAGGTAATGGCGCCCGTCTAGTACTACACTTACTAGGACAAGGCCGTCTGAACGAGAGAGAGAGAGGGAGAGAGCGAGAGAGAAAGGGAGAGAGAGGGAGAGGGAGAGAGAGAGAGAGAGAGAGAGAGAGAGAGAGAGAGAGAGAGAGAGAGCGCTAAAATCACCGATATGCGGCGCATATTCTTTTGACGCAATCTATCGTCCCGCCACCGTAAAGCACCGAACATTACGGTCCCCTAATTGCAACGGGGGGAGGAAGACGACGAGGAGGAGGAGGGGAGGGGAGAGGACGGGAGGGCGCCCAGCCCCGATCTAGATTGGCTGCTGCCCCGGACGGCCTAAGGTGTAATGTAGATAGGTGGGCGCAAGCGCTCTCATTGGTGGATCTGACATGCGCAGAACCGACTGCGCATCTCCATGTCAACCACTGTCAGGCCAGCGCGCGCGCCGCCGAGTACTTAAAAGGGATTAAGGAGCCAGGAAAGACCCGGCACCGCCCCTCCGGAGGCTCGAAGCTCGACCCTAGCACGGCCGCCCGGCCTAAAGCCGACCCTTGC